CCCGGAAGCCCAGGCTTGGGTGTGCTGGCCCCGTCACTGTTCCCTGAGTTCAGAGTAAGGAGAGAGCGACCTAATATGCACATAGAAGACAAAATGTAGATATTCTAGATATAACGGCTCTCGCCGAGCACGATTGTGCGTCACCATCTGGTGCCTGCCGTAGGCGCACGCCCGTAGACTTCGCTGCAACTCGACTTGTTCCGCAGGTGTAGATCTTCTGGAGGTTATAATTTAGTGAGTACATGCAGTATTAATCTACTACACCCAAATACATTCCCTTTTGATAGCACCGGAACACTCGTTGTATTGTGAGCAAGCCCAGGCTTAAGCCCAAGGCTTGGGCCGGGCTCGGGCTCGGCTCGGGCTCAGGGCTCGGCTCGACGTCGTCACAAGCCCAAGCCCGGGCTTTGAGCCCAAGCCGGGCCCGCACATCACTAGGTGCAGGAGTTTATGCTTTGCAGAGCAAGTTTATTGGCATATAGTAGCAACGCTCTATATATACCGCAGCATAAATACAGATGCGGCCATGCTCTCTTGCGCTTGCGAGAACTTGGCTCAGGGTCTTCTTCCATGTCCGGGTTGTGATCATCTGAGAGCTCCGCCTTGTCGCCGCTGCCCTCCTCGAATTCAGCGTCTGACTCGGACGCTGCACTTAACGAGTCCGCACCCATATTCTCCGGCTCGTCACTTCACTTATTGTTGTACTCCGATATGTCCCGTAAGTATTGTTGGTTGCCTAAATTTCTGCAAGTAAACTGATATTTCTTGTACAATTCTTGGCGAGACATGCTTCCAGGACGTGAACACTGACTGGTGAAGTTAAAAATGAAGATTATTCATGGTGCGTGTGGTTCACTCATGCCAATGGATCGCATGTGGCCTGTATTGTTTGAGACATGATTGGAGTGGTCCTTCAAAAGGCCACCAGATGATTGCAACATAAAACCGTAGGACGGCATGTCGTCCTTCCTTTTAAACACCTATCAACATGCACTCTGTGTTTCTGCAACTGCCTTCCGTAACGAGCTTGAGTGATTCACTAATGCCAGTAGCTCGTAGCCTGGCAGTTCCAAGCAACCGACCACCGTTCTCAGAAAACGGACCCGCCTCGCTGAGAGCATGAGCGATTCGGAGGAAGAAGATACTGGTACCATCAGAGACCGCTCTCGAGAGCTTACTGCCAGTAACAACAACACTTCTTCTGCCTACTATGCACCACATCCCGCAACTAGGGCCAATACAGTCAGCCGGAATGTCCTCGAGTACGCCAAGAGACTTGGAGTCAAGACGAAGCTTCATGCCGAGCAGCAAGAGAAGCTCAATTCTTTTGCTGCAGTATGTCTTTCCATTGGGCCACACTCACTTCATGGCCAGTAGGCTTACAGGTTTTCGATGTAGAACCCTCCGGCCACGCAAGAGATGAAGATCTTCTCACTCCTGCTCACCATTCAACAGCAGCAAGAAGATTTTATCACTACACAGGCCCCATGGGGGCCCTCTGATGAACTCATTGTAATCATGTATGCCATGTTCAACTGTATTTAGTGCCGGCTGACTTTGTGGCAGGCCAACATCCAAAATTACACAATCGGCGTCTTACTTCCTAGCCAGCTTGCAACATACAAGGGTGTCGTGCTAAACAATTATGTTACAGTATGTCCTTATATTTGGGTGTTTCTATGTACTAATGATATCCATATGTCTATCTTACAGGGCATCCTCAAACGCTACCGGTTCGACTTGCCGGCAGGTATCGAGCGCAACCATGGCCGCTGGGCCAAGGTGATTAAGGCCATCCAGAACAGAATGACCGAGCAATAGGCAAAGATCAAAAAGGCAGTAAGTCGAACTTATTCCGGATCTTCTTGACATGTCAGCAGTGTGCTAATGCTTGTCTCACTTAGCTTCATGCTGGCACTGACGGTGATGACCATCAGGAACACCTCAACATCTTCAAGCTCACTGAAAATTGAACTCTGCGGGGGCACGTCGTGCGAGCCGTCTCTTCAGCTCTGCGCAAAAGTGGCACCTCTAGTACGTGCTTGCCTCTCGCTCAACTTCCGATGTTTGGCATTGACTAATGCGGACCATCTGCAATAGCGAAAGACATTCTTGACAAATCCGACTGCGACTTCTGGGATTCAGCTAGTGGTTGAGGGTCTGGTCCGGTCCAGTCTTTTTAAAAAATTGGGTGGGACCAGGACTCAGACTGGTCAAGGACCAGCATCTGTTTGTGCAGGACTGGACCAAGACTGGGTCCTGGTCCTGTACAGTCCTCCGTGCAGTCCTGGACCGGTCATAACCAGTCTAGGACCAAATGCGGTCTTAGACCGATTTAGACCAGCTCAGACCAGTCCTGCCCTGATAAATATGACACAAATAAACAAATTTTGATTTTGAACTGCATGTACAGGTAGACTAGCAGTATACTAAGCTAATTTCTGGACAAATCAGTTTTGAGACCACACTACTCAGCCTAATGAGTCAAAGAGAAGACAGTGTGTGAGTCTCAAGAAGGCCAGAAGAGTGTACCAGATGCCTATCTCAGAAGTGCTATATACCATTCATGCATTGCCAGACTGTCTTTATGTACTGTAAGGCATCACAGAAATACTGTTGCGTAGAGTCTGATATTGAGGGAGTGTTTGACATGGCTGAATATTTGATGAACTCAAAGGCAGGAGCTCAAAAAAATAGCCACAGCTGTGGTCTGTGTTGTTAAGGTTCAAGAGAGGT